TAATTCCCTGGTGGATCACCAAAAAGAAAACCCTCCATCCCCAACGGATGCCCAAGAAGAAAAGGCCATGACAATGGAAGGCCAATAAATCCCCAACGGATTCCTGCCTACACCAAAAGGCAATCATTAAAATCCCCGGCAGCCAACAAGTCGGACGATTAAAGAAAAAGACAAAAATTAGGAATTCCATTTCCCCAGCAGAATAAGAGCTTGACGAAGCCAGCTCGCACCCATATCAATTAAGGAGCCAACACCCCCAAAAGGGAATATTAGCCTATTCAGAGGTGAAACAATACAGCCAAAAGTCTTCACTTCTGATGAAGTATCTGCCTACTCAAAGGCACTACCAGAACCTCAATGAAATATCTTCCTACTCAGAGGCACCATCATCAAAATCAATAAATCCCCAATGGATTCCTGCCTACACCAAAAGGCAATCATCAAAATCCCCAGCAACCAACAAAGCTGTATGGTTAAAGAAAAAAAGAAAGAATCCCCGGCACACCGAATGACTACACAAGAAGAATCAAGAACGATTACTCCCCATGGAGTCGGCGCATGATCGGAAACAGTAAGCCGCGACCACCTCTTCAGGAAAGGGAAAGACCTGAAGACAAAGACCTGCACACAGGCAAAACCAGTGCATGATCGGAAACAGTAAGCCACCACCACCACTTCGGAAAAGGGAAAGACCTGAAGACAAAGACCTGCACACAGGCAAAACCAGCGCATGATCGGAAACAGTAAGCCGCCACCACCACTTCGGGAAAGGGAAAGACCTGAAGACGAAGACCTGCACACAGGCAAAACCGGCGCATGATCAAAAATAGTAAGCCGCCACCACCACTTCGGGAAAGGGAAAGACCTGAAGACAAAGACCTGCACACAGGCAAAACCGGCGCATGATCGGAAATAGTAAGCCGCCACCACCACTTTGGGAAAGGGAAAGACCTGAAGACAAAGACCTGCACACAGGAAAAATCGGCGCATGATCGGAAACAGTAAGCCGCCACCACCTCTTCAGGAAAGGGAAAGACCTGAAGACAAAAACCTGCACACAGGCAAAACCGGCGCATGATCGGAAACAGTAAGCCACCACCACCTCTTCAGGAAAGGGAAAGACCTGAAGACGAAGACCTGCACACAGGCAAAACCGGAGCATGATCGGAAATAGTAAGCCGCCACCACCACTTCGGGAAAGGGAAAGACCTGAAGACGAAGACCTGCACACAGGCAAAGCCAGCGCATGACCAGAAGTAGTAAGCCGCCACCACAACCAAAGGGTCAGCTACCGCGTCGAAGGAGCATCCTAAGGCATCTAACCTGATGGGGGTTCATACTCATCAACCGAGGGGTCAGCTACCACATCGAAGGAGCATCCCGAAATTCTCTACGTGTCAGCCGAAGGGTCAGCTACCGCACCGAAGGAGCATCCTGAAGCCTCACAGCATATCGTCCGAAGGGTCAGCCTCCACAGCAAGAGGAGCATCCAGAAGACAACTGGGCAAGAGGATTAACTCCTTCACCCGCCAATCGACCTCATGGTACGTTAACCCATGGTCAATTGGTCGGGTAAAGGGGGGGCAGCTGTAGACCCCAAATCTTGCCCGGCCCCCTAATAAAGCCGAAGATCGCCCGTTTCGAAGATGGTTAAGACTTTATCAAGTCCCTAGTAGCTTGTTCTAGGTTCCATTTAGGATAGGAAGTGTTTTTAGAGGGATTAAAAATCAGGAAATCCGCCGAAGACGGCAGATGGCCGTCCAGAACAGGCGGATGGCCGTCCAGAACAGGCAGACGACCGTCCAGGACAAGCAGATGGCCGTCCATGGCAACTTTAAGGCCATGGACGGCCGTCCATTTAGCTTGGATAGCCGTCCATGGCCAAAAGTTGCCATGGACGGCCGTCCACACTGCATGGACGGCCGTCCATGGCCACTTTTTGGCATGGACGACCGTCCGCTTTGTCCAGACGGTCGTCCACCTTTTCCAGGCCCGAATCCCTATAAATAGGGGCCTCATTTGTCTGTTTTTTCACACCTTTTCCACTCCTGCACTCTCTTGGAAGCCTTTGGCACTTGAGAGTGACCCTGAGCATTATTCTGGGGTTCGAGGGAGCTTTCCGATTTCCCTTAAAGTTGAAATCGGTTAAGGAAGTCTCTTTTTGAGACATCCGGCCCTCGGTAGAGTGACTTTTCTTTATTTTACGGGAGGAGCGTGTTTGTAGAGTGCGGGGACTGCCAAAAAGCGTCCTCACGTTTTCGAAGAGTTAATATAAAGCTCGCTTCGGAGGTTCCTTCTCTATTCTCTATCTTTTTTTACTGCTTTCTTTATCGCTTTCTTTGTGTGCATTAGATAATAGAGCCATGTAGATATTTAAATTTCGCAAGTAGATCAAATAATAGGTAAAAATGTAATTTCTTTAAGTGTTTATTTTCTAAGTTAGTCCATCATAGGGAACCCGAAAGGGGCGTTGTGGGGGTGCTAACACCTTCCCCACACGTAACTAACTCCCTTACCCGACTCTGGTTGTAATGACCAAAGTTGGTTTTTTCTAAAACCACTGCCTTCTACTTTTTTTTACCTTTTTCAGTGTTTAAGGTTAAAACACTGAGGGCGACTCCTCGAACCTATTCGAAAACCTCGCCTTTGGGTCCAGCCCGATTATCAGACGGCCTAAAGGCGTTGAACCGTTTCTTTCAAAGAAAACGCGAGTCATATCAAAAACCATCGCGTCGCTCCGATCGCCTCATCTGACGGTGGCGACACTCCCCTCAGAAAAATATGCCTACCCTAAACCTAGAGTCCCTAGGAATGGGCCCAAGCTGGCCCACACAGAATTAAACATAAAATAGAACCCAGCTGACGTGGCAACCACTAATCTGATATGGAAATAGTAGGCGACATGGCAGGCTGACACGACACTCCCCTCAAAAAGTCTAGAATAGCTTTCCTAACCCAAAATTTCTTCATAATTAACCTAAAAATAGTAAATTCGAATTAATGGCCTAATGAAACCCAATCAATGAAATTGAGCTAATATTAGACAATTAAGCACAATGCACCTATTAAGATAAGTACGAAAAGGTAAGAAAATGGGAGAAAATAATGGCTCATCAAATTCCCCCACACTGAGCCTTTTGTACTTCTTGGCAAAATCATGAAATGAAGCAGAGCAAGGAAACAAATCTAGAGACATCAAAATGGTTCATGCAAAAAGGAAGAAAACGAAATTGAAAGCAAACATAACCCTAAACACAAACAAATTTACATGCTCCTGAATGAACCCTAGAAAATACCAGGAACAAACACATCCAACACTCAAAGAGTCAAATAAACTAGATATGTATGGACAACATCCCAAGTAGTTCAAAACATGGCAAGAAAATAAATCAACCCAAGAGGTGAATCATAAGCAACAAAACCTCACAAGATATGTAGTGTATCACTCAAGTGTCTAGGTTTGTGTATACTCTCAACACACCAAGAGAGCAAGCAACAATTAGACTTGGCAAGCCTCTAAAATCAACACCCAATACACATGCACACAAAAATCAAAAGGTCTTTTAGGGTTGTAATGGGGCTAGGGACAAGGCAGAGGATAGAATATGGGATAAGTAGCTAAAACCAAAGGGAAGAGTGAAGCAATGTGGGATAAATCAACAATAAGCATACATGAAAGTGAATAATATCCAAGGTCTCAAACACCCCTACTACCAATCCTCTTCTGTCCTAACAACTTCTTTTTCTCTTTTTTTTTTTTTGAAGAATACAAAGAAAAATACATGAAATATACAACATGAAATACTAATAGATAATCATCATGAAAGACAAAAAACCAATAAGTATATGAAACCAACTAACCAATGCAACATCATCCAATGAAACACACCCCCACACTTATACAAAGACATATTCTGAATACAATTATAAAGCTCCACACCTCCTAAAGGTTAAGGTAATCATGATTTTTCACTTAAGGGTATGTAATGAGATTCAAACAAAGAAGGGGAACATAGGCTCAACAGGGGTTATCTGTTGGAATCGCACAGCGGAATGATCGCGTTGTCGGACAAAAACCAAGAGGGGGGGTGAATTGGTTTCTTAACAAAAATTAGGTTTTAAAAATTTTCCCCAAATTTTACCGATTAAAATGCTGTGTAAACGTAAATAGAATAGAGATAGAGTCTTACACAAGAGATTTATACTGGTTCGGATCAAAAGA